GGCTTCGGAGCGAGCACCCCTCGGGCGGAAGCGTGCAGAAACATGAACAAGGGATGCGCTGGAAGTCAACAGGAGGGAGGGAGGAAGAGAAACAGGAGGGAGGAAGGAACAATGAAACAGGAAGGAACACAGGGAGGGAGGTATCCGCCCGCCCCGTGAAACAGGAGGAAGGAACACCGTTCGACACCTGCAGCAGGAAGAGGACCGATGGATGTGTGTTGGGGGAGCGCGCCCGCGGCGCACTCCCAGAGGGGGGGTCCCCCGTGAAAAAGAGTGAACGCCCCAAGGATCCGTTCCCGTTCCCGTTCCCGTTCCCGTTCCCGTTCCCGTTCCCCCTCCCGCTCCCGTTCCCGTCGTCGTCGTCGTCGTCGTCGTCGTCGTCCCGTCGTGGTCGTCGTGGTCGTGGTCGTGGTCGTGGTCGTGGTCGTCGTCGTCGTCGTGGTCGTCGTCGTCGTCGTGGTCGTGGCCTCCGTCCACCCTGACGGGGGTCAAGAGGGAGGCTCCAGAAAGGCTGCGGACGCTTGGAGGCTTGTTGGGCTCTCCTGAGAGGCCTCTCGGGGGCCTCTTGGAAGCATGTTGCAGGTCTCTTGGGGCCCGTAGGGGTCTTCTTGGGGACGTCAGGGCGGAGGAATTGGGGGTTTCCTGGGAGTTCGTTGGCGGTCTCGGAAGGTCTCTGTCAGACGCCTACGGCGAATCACCGCCGCCCCTTGCCTTTTGGAACCGCCGACGCGGCCAAGCGTCACGGCGAAGTTTGGCCCAGGTGTTGGACCAGGTGTTCCCCCAGCCGTTGTTGAAACCCTTGGGGAAAACACTTGGGTGAGGAAGATGGGGGAGGAGCAGGATAGAGGGGGATGATGGTGATGATAACGAAGAGGCACATGAGATGATAAGGAGGGGGGAAGGAGGCCTCTTGGAGGCATGTTGGGGTTTCATGCGGGCTTTTGGAGGCCACTTGGGGCCATCTGGACTCCTTTTCGGGCAATCTTGGCTGTCTTGGAGGGCATCTTCGGTCGCCTCGGGGGCCATGCAGGGCCGTCCTGGCAGTCATCGACGGCATGCTGGCCGTCCTGGAGGCCACATTGGACCATCTTAGCACGCTTGAATGCAATCTCTCACGTGTCTTAGGCCATATTGGAGGCAAACTTATCCGTCCAGGAGGCCATCTTGGCCGTCGTGGAGGCCATCCCCAGCGTAGCCCACCCAGCCACGGTTAGATTAATGCACTCGTACATATCCAGATGCCTGCGGCAATTCCCGCCTCCGTGGTGATGATGATGATGCGGATGATAATGATGATGATGATTCTGATGATGATGATGCTGATGATGAGGATGATGATGATGCTGATGACGACGGTGATTATGATGACGACGATGACGATGACGATGATTATGATGATGGTGCTGATGACAATAACGATGACGAGGATGATGCTGTTAATGAAGCTGATGACGATGATGATCATGATGATGACGTAGTAGTAGTAGTAGTATTAGTAGTATTAGTAATATTATTATTATTATTATTAGTAGTAGTAGTAGTAGTAGTAGTAGTAGTAGTAGTAGTAGTAGTAGTAGTAGTAGTAGTACTAGTAGTAGTAGTAGTAGTAGTAGTAGTAGTAGTAGTAGTAGTAGTAGTAGTAGTAGTAGTAGTAGTAGTAGTAGTAGTAGTAGTAGTAGTAGTAGTAGTAGTAGTAGTAGTAGTAGTAGTAGTAGTAGTAGTAGGGAGGCCTCTGGGAGGCTCTTGGGTCGTCTGGGAGGCCCTGGGAGGCCGTGGGAGGCTTGCCGTTCCTGTTCCCGTTCGCGTTTCTTGGGTCGGCTAGAAGGCTTAGGGGGGGTAGACGGGCACGCGACCGGGCGGGAACGGAACGGGAACGGGAACGGGAACGGGAACGAGAACGGGAACGGGAACGGACCTATAGGGCGTTCTCGCCCTTTTACGGGGGTCCCCCCTGAGCAGGTCCCCCCCCCTCCCCCCTCTCCTTCTTTCCTGCCCCTCGAGAGCTACTTCCCCTCTCCCCTCTTGTCGCGCTCCGGGTGCTACCCCCCCCATCACTTTCCAGGAGGGGGGGGGCCAGCTACGCCCCACCGCCTTGGACCCCCCCCAGCGGTCCCCCCCCCCCTCCTTTTCTCCCGCTCCTCGGAAGCCAATCCGCACCCCACTCCTCCCTTTCGCGTTTTGGGAGCTACCCCCTCAGAGCCCCACTTTTCCAAGGGGAGGGGCTTAGATATCCCCCCTCCTTTGAACTTTCCCTGCCAAAAGACCCCCCCTCCACCCATTTTTGGCCAAAGGGGAGGGTGTGCATGGACCCCCCCTTCCTCCCCCCTTTTTGGCTAAAGGGAAACCAAAAGGGCGCCGAAAACCAACAAAGCACCGAAAACCGGAAGGGTGCGAAAACCAGAGGCGCGCCGAAAACCAAAGGATCGCTGAAAACCGAAGGTGCGCCGAAAGCCCAAGGGGCACCGAAAACCAAAAGGTTGCCGACAACCAAAACCAAAGAAGCGCCGAAAACCAAAACAGCGCCGAAACGTAAAGAAGCGCCGAAAACCAAAAGGCTCCGAAAACTTAAAGAACACCCAGAAAACCAAAGAGGCACCGAAAACAAAACAATACTCCGCAAACCAGCGGTGCGCCCAAAACCGAAGATGCGCAAAAACCAAAAAAGCGCAGAAAATCAGAGCAGCGCCGAAAACCAAAAGGGCGCCGAACATGAAATTGCGCCAAAAACCAAAAGGGCGCCGAAAATCAATGGGCGCGCCGAACTTGAAAAGGACGACGAAAACCAAAGGGGCGCCGAAAACCAATAGGGCGCCGACAACAAAAGGGTCGCCAAACACCAAAAGTGCCCCGAAAACCAAAGGAGCGCCGAAAACCAAAGGGTGCGCAGAAAAGAAAAAAAACGCCGAAAACCAAAAGAACGCCGAAAACCACAGGAGCGCCGGAAACCAAAGGCGCGCTGAAAACCAAAGTGGCGCCGAATACCAAAGGGGCGCCAAAGGCCAAAGGGGCGACGAAAACCAAAGAGGCGCTGAAAACTAAAGAGACGCCGAAAACCAAAGATGCGCTGGAAACCCATAGGGCGCCGAAAGCCACAAAAACGCCAAAAACAAAACGGCGCCGAAAACCAAAGGAGCGCCGAAATCCACAAGGCCACCGAAAACCAAAGATGCGCCGCAAACAAAAAAAGGCGCCGATAACCAAAAGGGCACCGAAACTTTAAGTAGCGCCGACAACCAAGAAGGCGCCGAAAACCGAAGGGGTGCCGAACACCCACGGGGCGCCGAAAACCAAAAGGAGTGCCAAAAACCATCGGGGCGCCGAAAACCAACGATGCACAAAAATTCAAAAGGGCACCAAAACACCAAAGGAGCGCCGACAGCCAAAAGAGCGCCGAAAACAGATGGCGCCGAAAACAACATAATCTCCGAAGACGGACAAGGCGCCAAAAAACCAGAAGGGCGCCGAAAACCAACAAGCTGCTAAAACCGCAGGGTCTCCGAAAACCGGAGGGGAGCCGAAAGCCAAAGGAGCGCCGAGAACAAAGGGGCGCTGAAAACCGACGATGCGCCGAAAACCACAACGGCGCCAAAAAACAAAGGGGCGCCGATAACCAAAAGCGTGTCGAAAACCAAATGGTGTCACAAACAAAAGCATGCCAAAAGCAAAAGGAGCGCCGAAAACTAAAGAAACGCTGAAAACCAAAAAGGCGACGACAATCAAAGGGGCGCGGGAAACCAGCAGAGCGCCGAAAACCAAACCCGCGCCGAAAACCAAGAAGGCGCCAAACACCAAGGGGGCGCCGAAAGCCAAGCGGGCGCCGAAAACCAACGAAGCACCGAACACCAGAAAGGAGCGCAGAACACAAAAATGCGGCGACAACCAAAGGAGCGCCGGAAACCAAAGGGGCGCCGAAAACCAAAGGGGCACCGAAGGCCAAAGGGGCGACGAAAACCAAAGAGACGTCGAAAACCAGGAAGACGCCGAAACCCACAAGTTCTCCAAAAACCACTGGGCGCCGAAAAGCAAAGAAGAGAAGTACCTTCGAAGCCCCCTCTTCAGACAGGGTTCTCCAGCTGGACAAGCCAACAGAAGGAGAGGAGGCACGGCACGCTCATTCGGAAGCCCTCCCCCCTTTGGAAAAGGGAGTCCGAGGTTACCCCGGGGCCCCGAGGAGGGGACGGGTGGGGGTAGCTTCCAAGCCCCTCCCCCGTTAGCCAGGGCCCCAGCTACAAAATCCAAACAGAAGGGGGGTGGCAGCTTCGGAGAGCCCCCGCTCTTTGAAAAGGGAGGGCTGACCTCCTGCCATCGCTCGGACGTCCATTCCTCGTGTATGTTTCGATTTCGTGCGTGCTTTTTCCGCTAAGTCATCTAGAACGCTCCTCCATGGTCCTCGCCGAGGAAAACATGCACACGTCCGAGCGATGCCAAGACCTTGGGCTCTGGAAAAGAAGGGGAGGCGGGAGAGCTTGAAGCCCCCCCCCCCTGAGCTAGTGCCCCCCTAGCTCCTAGCTCTGAAATGCCACAATAGGAAGAGAGGGGGAGGTAGCTTTGGACCCCCCCTCCCTTTTCCAAGGGAGGGGGGTAGCTTCAAGCTGGAGCACCCCTTTGCGTGAGAAGTTTGCCACGAGCGCGCTGTTTCATATGTTTACGCAAATTACTTCCCCGAAAACCAACAAGTTCGTGGCCAAGCCCAGGTAGCGCAGGCGCATCTCCTCGAGCTTCTGCTGCGCGGCCCGGTCCAGGCCACTCCTGTTGGGCAGCTGCACGACGTCGACGTTCGCGCAGCCGACGGTGCAGAGTCGCAGGCGTAGGGGCTCCATCTTTAGGCGCTGACCCAGCCCCTTCTGTGCCTTTCGAAAAAAAGGCAAAACAAAATACGTGCACGTCACAGGGGCATTGGCAGAGCGGTGAGAAAGGATCCGCCGCCAGTGGCGCGGCTGTGAAACAATGAAGCGCCACACATGACCACCCACCCACCCACCCACCAAACAATGAAGCGCCATAAGTCCCGCGACGTTATTGGATCTGGCGCGCGCGGCGCGCAGGGGGTGCCGCCCGTGCCGCCGCCAAGGGGTTCCAGCGCAGATCATCCGCGATACATCACTGATAGATCGGCGACAGGCCCCCGATAGCGAATCCGCCCGCTCCTGGACGTGGTGTGCCTGAGGTTCCCGCAGTCCAGGCGATGAATAAGCGATTGGGGGTCGATGCGTCCCCCCTGAGCCCATCTCCACCAAACTCTGCGCATGGTTTGTCAGACCATACCTCGGGCCTTCGGCGGCCGTTCGGGACGATCCTGGCAGCCCGGGAACGTCCTCAGCGAGAACCAGCTGCTGAAAAACACCCCGAGGTGGGAAAGCCTCGGGGAACCGACGGGTAAATCAGAAAACCTTGTCTCTGTTCCCTGGGGCAGACATGCCCGAAAATCTCCCCACTGAGTCTATCATCCCCCCTATCGTTGCCCCTGAGCCTTGTCCTTCACACTCCGCAACCACTCCTCGGCCTCGGGGCCGCTGACCGGCCTCTCCTGTCGGCGGCGCGCCGGGGGGGAGTGCGAAGGGGGCAGGCACTCTCAACGGCGGCGGGGCCTCTCAGAAACCTTCGCGACTTCTGAGAAGCCACCTGCGCCGTCGGAGAAGGCTTCCAGTGAAGACGCTGAAGCAAGGACCACTCTTGGTTGTGGAGGGGCTCTAATTGTGCGTCGACCTTTAGATCCATGTCGAGGAGCCCATTCGCGGCCAAGGCTCGCTGTGGCTAGAGAAAAGCTCCGTCGTTCCTTATTCAGCGTTCCTTCTGATAGCACGATGGCTGCACAGATGACTTCTCAGAAGGGCGAGGGCCTTCTGAACCATCGGAGGAAGGCTCGCCGCCCCTTGGAGGAAGATGCAGCTGCGCAAGCACAGCCTTTCAGCGCTCTGCGCGGGACCCCCTTCCCCGGCGCGAGGAGCGCGCGGGGGGTCCCAGCGCCGATCCGAGAACCTGGACCCCCCGACGTCGTCTTTTTCTTATGACGTGGACCCCGAAAAAGTCTGAACTCCTCTCCAGGAACTGGCTTTTCATCCCGAGCGCGGCACCGAGGCCCGGGAAGGGCACCAGGGGGCCGAAACTAGCCGAATACGCGTCCCGCCATCAATTTTTGTGTCACGACGCGAGCTGGCCTGGGAAATCCGCGCGGAGCTCCGACAATTTCTGATTACGGCGTTTCTCTTCCTAGACCGTCTGCCTCCCCCCCGGGCGCGCCTCACGAGCGGCGAACATGTCCGTATCCGCGCCCTCGCGGTCCGACTTCTGGGGCGCGCTCCCGCGGATACGCGGTCGCACGGATGATGCGCTCCGCGCGGAGCATCCGCGGAAAAAACGCCCCGTACCCGCGGGGTCGCGGTCCAAGGGGCCGGCCCGCGAGGCCGCAGAAACGGACATGCTTTTCGCCCACGAGGGCCGCCGATCCTCGCCGCACCGGAGCTCCATTGCCACGGGCTGCCGCATGCCTGGCGCGACGAGCTCCGCCGCCGCGGCTGCCGCCACGGCGTGGTCGCCCAGCAGCGCGGCCACCAGCTCGCGGCTGTTCGCGATGCTTCGGGTGTTGCCAGAAGTTGCCCTGGCCCAAGGTGTCCCCAGCTATTCGCGCCATTTTCGGCTGATGCTCCTCAAACTCCTCCTCCTCCTCCTCCTCCTCCTCCTCCTCCTCCTTCTCCTCCTCCAACTCCTCCTCCTCCTCCTCCTGCTTCTCCTCCTCCTCTGCCTCCTCCTCCTCCTCCTCCTCGTCCTCCTCCTCTTCTTGTAGTAGTGTGATTCAGAATGCCAATGGCAGGCGAAGGTGAATCCGACCAACCGACGATCGCTGCCATGCCCTTCTCGCCCGTGTGCCTGCTGGACATACGGCGCTTTCTTCTTCTGGGGCCCTCTGGGCCTCGTCCGGGGCTCCGAAGGCCATTAGACCGACGAAAGGAAACGGGCCTTACGTGAGATGACATCGCGACCTGACTTGGTGGCTTAAGCGGGCCGCCAGCGCGGCACACTACATTGGAGACGAGGGTGATTACGCGCGATCTTACGTGGGCAGATTCCGCAACAACGTGCGTGAAGACGATCCCGATGTTCTGCGTCGCCCATCTGGGCCTCCTCGGTACCCTCGGGACGCCCTGGGCCAAGGCCACCTTGGGTAACACCCAGATACTGCCGACCAGGACGCACGCCGGGAACCGCTCCGTCAACTCCCGCACGCCCTCCACGTCGGCAATGGTCGAGGAACAATTAACGGCATGGCACAAAACTGTTTTGTAGTTCTGCGCAAAATTCCCAGGCCAACTCGCGTCGTGACAAAAATATGACGGGACAGTCTGCTGTGATTTTCAGGATCCAGACCTTACAAGGCCTCGGGGCCGTCAACAATAAACTCGGAATGAGAAGCCGGTCCCCAGGAAGAGGTCCAGAACCCTGGGGGTCCACATCATGAAAGAATGACGACGTCGGGGTCTTCGAGCGCCCCCAGCACCGATCCGGCAACACAAGCCCCGACGTCGGCATCTCTTCACGACGTGAATCCCCGAGAGATCTGGACCCATTCCTGGGGACTGGCTTTTCATCCTGAGCGTTTTTGCTGGCCCCGAGGAAGAAAAATACCACCAGAAACGTTTCACATGTTTGTTCCCGCGACGCGAGCTGGCCTGAGAAATCCGCATGGAGCTCCGAAAGTTTGTGTGCTGTGCCGCTTCTCCTTCTTCCTCGGAATGTTCAGTTGCAAGTCGTGGGAGCCTCCCATGCCATCTTGTTGGCTCTCGGGAATCGACGCTGACTGACGCCAATCGACGCCCATCGACCCTAAATCGACGCGATAACGGCGCCATCTCATCGATATCTGGCGCTGGTCGATGTTAATGCGTCGTGAAGGAAAGCATGGCGAGAATACACGCGGCTCCCATGATGTGCTTCCGAAGGAATGGATTCGAGCTGGGTCCGGACCTCGCTCAATGGCCAGGCAATGCTGCGCACAGCGCGCCGGGGCGGCGCGGCGGGCCGGCGCGCATCGCTCGGGGGGTCGTGAAAGGGGGGTCAGACGGCGGGCTCGAAAAGAAGAGCGCTTGCGATCCCTAGGTGCACGGCTTGATCGCCCAGACATGCTCGCGTCGTGAAAGATGAGGACGGGAGGTTTGTCGTCGTGTTTGTCTCTGGGGGCCCTCACTGGGCCCCAAGACTGTAACAAAAACGGTTCGGATGAAAAACCAGCCCCAAGGAAAGAGTCGGGACTTCCAGAAACCGCGTACTGCAAAAAACAGACAAACAGCAACGTGGAATGAGGACTCCCCGCTGCAATGTCCCGGCGGAGAACCGCGGGGAATGCTCGGAAGCCGCAAGCAGGACATCCGCCTCCACGCCCAAATCCTCCCATACATTCTCCTCATCCAACTCGTACCCGTCCTCCTCGTCCTCATCCTTCTCATTTTGCTGGTGGTGTGCTGCCACCGCGTTTTGCACCCCCCGCCTCCACTGCGTGTTCCTCCTCATCGGTCTCGTCCTCCTCCTCCTCCTGCTCCTCCGTTTCGTCTTCATGGCCCCCCCCTCCCCCCCTTATCGTCCTCCTCTTGTGCCTCCTCCTCCCCCTCCTCCGCCGCCGTGTCCTCAATCCTCTTGTTCGTCCTCGTCCTCCTCCACCTCCACCTGCTCCCCCTCCCCTCCTCCTCTTCCTGCTCCTCCTACTCGTGCTCAGCGTCCTCTTCGTCCTCCCTCACGCGCAGCCTGAGACAGCCGCAGGGCGGGCGCCTCGGACGCGGTGAGTGGGGACACAGAGCACGCGCCGGCGACGGGCGGTTGCGGATGCGCGCGCCCGCGGCCGGGCTGAAACGTATCGCCCAGTTGCGGTCGCGGTTGCGCGGGCTGGTAAAATTGTGTCGCCCGGTTGCGGGCGGTTGCGCGCGCGGGTTGACATGTGTCGCTTGGTTGCAGTTGCGGTTGCGGTTTCGCGGGCGGGTTGAGCTGTGTCGCCTAATTGCGGTTGCGTTTGTGCGAGCGGGTTGAAATGTGTCGCCTGGTTGCGGTTGCGGTCGGCGGGCGGGTTGAAATGTGTCGCCTGGTTGCGGTTGCGGTTGCGCGGCCAGGTTGACATGTGTCGCCTGGCTGCGGTTGCGGTTGCGCGCGCGGGCGGGTTGAAATCTGTCGCCTGGTTGCGGTTGTGGTTGCGGCTGCGTGCGCGGATTGACACTGCGCGCCCGTGTTGAAATGCGTAGCCTAGTTGCGGTTGCGGTTGCGGTTGCGCGGGCGGGTTGAAATGTGCCGCTTGGTTGCGTTTTGGCTGCGGTTGCGCGGACGTGTTGAATCTCTCGCCTGGTTGCGGTTGCGGTTGCGCGGGCGGAATGAGCTGTGTCGTCTGGTTGCGGTTGCGGTTGCGGTTGCGCGGGCGGGTTGAAATGTGTCGCCTGGTTGCGCTTGCGGTTGCGTCCGCCGGCGGGTTGAAATGTGTCGCCGGGCTGCGGTTGCGTTTGCGCGGCAGGGCTGAGATTGCGCAGCTGGGTTGAAATTTGTCGATTGGTTGCGGTTGCGGTTGCATTTGCGTGGGCGGGTTGAAATGTGTCGCGCGGTTGCGGTTGCGGTTGCGCGGACGGCTTGAAACGTGGTGCTTGGTTGCGGTTGCGGTTGCGCGCGAGCGGTTGAGGGTGGGTTGAAATGTAACGCCTGGTGTTCGTGGCGGTTGCGTCTGCGCGGGCGGGTTGAAATGTGTCGCCTGGTTCCTGTTGCGATTGCGCACGCGGGCGGGTTGAAATCTGTCGCCGGGTTGCGGTTGCGGTTGCGCGGGTGGGTTGAAATCTGTCGCCTGGCTGCGGTTGCGGTTGGGGTTGCACGGGCGGGTTGAAATCTGTCGCCTGGTTGCGGTTGCGTTTGAGTGCGCGGGCGGGCTGAAATATGTTGCTTGGTTGCGGTTATGGTTGCGGTTGCGCGGCCGGGCTGACATGTGTCGCCTGGTTGCGATTGCGGTTGAGGCTGCGCGGGCGGGCTGAAATGTGTCGCCGGGTTGCGGTTGCGATTGCGGTTGCGCGGGCGGGTTGAGCTGTGTCGCTGTGTCGCCTGGTTGCGGTTGCGGCTGCGGTTGCGCGGACGGATTGATATGTATCGCCGGGTTGCGGTTGCGGCTGCGCGGACGGGTGTCGCCTGGTTGCGGTTGCGGTTGCGATTGCGGGGGCGGGTTGAAATGTGTCGCCTGGTTGCGGTTGCGGTTGCGCGGCCGGGCTGAAATGTGTCGGCTGGTTGCGGTTGCATATGTGTCGCCGGGTTACGGTTGCGGTTGCGCGGGCGGGTTGAAATGTGTCGGCTTGTTGCGGTCGCGGTTGCGGTTGCGCGGGCGGGTTGAGCTGCATCGCCTGGTTGCGCTTGCGGTTGCGCGGGCGGGTTGAAATCTGTCGCCTGGTTGCGGTTGCGGTTGCGGTTGCGCGGCTGGGTTGCAATGTGTCGCCTGGTTGCGGTTGCGGTTGCGGTTGCGTTTGTGCGAGCGGGTTGAAATGTGTTGCCTTGTTGCGGTTGCGGCTGCGGTTGCGCGGGCGGGTTGAAATGTGTCGCCGGGTTGCGGTTGCGCTTGCGGTTGCGGGGGCGGGTTGAAATGCGTCGCCTGGTTGCGGTTGCGGTTGTGGTTGGGCGACCTGGTTGAAATGTGTCACCTGGTTGCGGTTGCGCGCTCCGCGGGCGGTTTGAAATGTGTTGTCAGACGTGCTCTCCTGACGTTCAGTCAGTCAGTCAATCAATCAATCAATCAATTACCGGTGGGCACGGAATTTCATCGGGCTCCGCAGGGAATCATGACGTCGCATGTCCGGAGGAGGATCCTTTCCTTCTTTGTTTCAGTGGGGCAAACGCTGGGCACTTCCTGAAATCGAATCATCGTGCCCTTCTGCGCATTTTAGACTGATGGTGGAAGGAAATGGCAGAGCCCGAAGTCGGGTCGGACAAGTGCATTTCTGCTCATACTGGGTATTTTCGCTCTGCTTGGGGCCACATGAACATCACAGATCGATCCAGCTCGAAAACTGCCGCAGGATAACAGGGTCTGGGCCTTCGGTTCTGATTTTCGTTCGGGGGAGTAGTAGAAAAGGGGAAGAACAGGAGGGCGGGTTTTAATGAAACCCTGGACTGACTCGGATTAAGCGGGATCAAGCGGAAGTAAGCGGCAATAGACCAGATTGGGCCGGTCTTCGACCAAGGGCATACCAGCACCGATGCAGAATTAAACCTGCCAGGAGTTGCGCCCCCAGCGCTGGACGGCTCTTGGAAGGAGGAGATGTGAGCCTCCACTGGGCTGACTCCCACGTCCCTCACCCCACCTTCTGGCAAATCCGGAGCGGGTACGGACATTGTGCACCATGCCCAACCGCAAAATGTTGTCCCAAACCGACAGTGGCCGCCGTTGGGCAGGCGACTTTTGTCCCGAGTGGGCAACGTCTGCGAGTCCTGTTCAGTTCAACATGGGCAAGGACTGCTGTCAGCATCCGTACCCATGTCGATTCGACCCTACCTTGGACCCGAAGCCATTCAAAATCGGTCCTCAAACCCTCCTTGGGTCTAGACCTGTTTTTCAACGCGGATCTGGCCGTGTCAAGAAGCACCCACGAGGCCAAGAAAGGGAGAGAAAAACGCCAAGGAGGCCCGCCGTTATCTCGACCGGCTCCCTCCAACAACCCCATTCTGACAACCGGATCTCTGAGCAGCATCGGCGATACATCACCGATAGACCGGCGACGGGACACTGATTTGGCGGCGCGCAGAAGTGGGTAGGGGGAGGGGGAAGGCAACTTAGAGGGAGGCTGCTTCTTACAAGGCGCCAGCGAACCTCGAACCTCGAGCGTGCAGCAGGACACCCCCCCTACCCCCATCGAGCTGATCCCCCCCGTAAACTTGTGCATAACTCCCCCCCACGAGCCCCCGAGAATCGCTCCCGGGAGCCGCCACCCGCGCCGCGACGCCGCCCGCCCCAACGCCCTCCAGGCACTGCGCGCCCGCGCCTGTGGGCGCCGTCGCCGTCGGCCGCGCGCCGGGCGCGACGCCGCCGCTGGCCGCAGCGCCCAGCGGCGCCGCGCGCGCTGCCTGCTCGCGCCCTTGAATCCCCATGTGGTTACGTCAGGAGAAGAACAACAAAAAGAGGACGAGATGTGTTTCGGCGTTTTCCTTGCCGGGCCCCAGGACCGTCAAAACAAAAAACCAGCCCTGGGAAAGTGGCCGAGACGCCTCGGGTTCTGCATCGTCGAAATCTTACAACGTCGACGGGGAAATCTGGGCGTTGCAACTTTTTGAATGCTGGGCGGTTTCCGCCCAAATTTGGGGGACGGCGCGGATC